ACAAACTAACAATTTTGATAACTTTGTTACAACATTGCATACGTTGTATATAAACGAAGTATCACACACATAAGTTTTCGTTTAGACGCAAAAAAATCGATTTTTCATATATATTCAGAGTTGAGTCACTTTTTATTTTTAAGAATAAATATATACCAACTATTTTCTTCTACGTTAAGTGATCAGACCAAAACTTCCAAGAATTAGTTGATAAACGAATTATTCAAATATAATTTCAAGTACACGTTCAAAAGATGTCACTACTGTATTGTGCAGACGAAAATTTATATTTCTTTCTTTTTCATAGTTCGGATTAGTAGGAAAAAAAATGAGTACTGTCTAAACACAGTACTCAACTGTTGTTAGTTTTTGTTTTCTATTTAGTTGTGAATTATCATTCTCGAGATTTTTCTAAAAGATAGGCAAGTAATTTGTTGACCAATGTCTAAAACATTCAACATGAATCTCTTCTTTTTTTTTGACGTCATGATGAATATGAACACTTCTCTCTTGTATGCGGAAATAGAAAAGAGAAAAAAGGAAAAAAATTTTTTTTTCACAGGTCAGAAATATACAATAGAAAAGAACAGGCGAAGAACTTGTTGTGAAGATCTATTTCTATGTGACATCGAGAGAAGGGAGAGTTTAGTTCATCGTAAACATAGAGAGAGAGAGAGTTCTTGTCGATATTAATAATGATACGTTTCAATTGAGACAATATAACAACAAGAGGGAGAAAGAGCGAGAGTAATTATATACCTTCTCTGTCTCTCTCTCTCTCTCTCTTTTATAACCTTGTTATCATATCGTTGTTGCTGTTCATCGTCGTCGTCGACGTTCATAATCACTCAATGTTGTTGTTCGTTCAAAATTTTTTTTTTCTTCTTTTTCATCCTATGTAGGCAATCGTGTTTTGAACAAATTGCAACATAAAAAAAGAAAATTTTTCGAGACACACAGATTGGGTATGTCTACTCTTAGCTACCTGTACTGGATACATGTAACAATAATGAGGGTTCGATTTCTTTAAACACTTTTGTATTATTATCATTATTGAAGACAAAAAAACAGTGAACAACTGGTTCGCATATGAAACTTGTTTGATCAAAAGAAAAAGTGAACAACAACTGCATGTATAATAGTGATCAAAAGTAGTACTACTGTAGTAAATCGATTAAACATTCGTAGTATAGAAGGCGATAATAATATGTATCCACAATATAGTTTTATATAGCTTCACAGAACTGTATAGACGGTGAAATGATGAACGATATAACAGTTACAATGTTGCATAATATTTTAGATGTAAGTAAAATTATTAACGGAAGAAAATTAAATATAAACAAAAACTTACGATTTTTTTACATTATCGATCTACAGCTCGCTAATGTTATTTATTAACTTTACTGGTGATGCAAATAAAAAGCGGAAGGTATGTAGACAGTAGTTGTTATCGTGTGTAAGAGAAAATATATTTTTTTAGGTCTTTATTTCAATTCAGTTGTAGAAATGTTGTAGATTATCGCACATGATATTTGTACATCAAACGGTTAGCTAGTTAAACATCTGAGCAACGTACGAATGACCTGATTTTTGTATTTTAAAAATATTTTAGAAAAAAGAAAAGAAAAAAACAATTAATTTTCATAAAAGATTTGCATTAAGTACAACATTTTCATTCGATATTTCTCACAAGTAGAAAGATTTGAATGATTAAGTTTATTTTTTCGCTTTTGTATACCGTGTGAAACAAAAGATGTTGATTACAATCTGGCATTCATACAATAGACAGTCTACACTGATAACACATGAAGGTCATAATAAACTAGATATTTATCTTTAACTAAGTACCATATGTAAACAATTGATGATTAATTTTTTTAACCCTCATGGCTGAACTGTAACCATGATTTTATTTTTAACCTTCATTACTATTAGTTATTCATTCAATAATCATCAGAAAAATACATAATGATATTATCTTTATTAATCTGAAAATGTTGAGTAAGTAAGTTCAAATAGTGAAGTCATTTAAATCTAGATACTCTTATCTGATTGTTCGATTTATTGAAATTATTCATTAATCACAAAAAAGCCGCTTTAGTTCCTTTTTATGTTTGAAGAAAATTAATTGCTATCATACACGAGAACAATCTAACACTCTTCTACTTCTTTTTTTCCTTCTTCTTTCCGTATTAAATATACAAAACACTTTCAAAAATTTTTTTTTTTTTTTTTTGTGATGTATATCGATTGCACGCATCGTTTGAATTCATTCGTTCGAACTTTGACCAAGATTTAATTGTAAATCCTGATATTTAATTTAAATATGCTAAGGACAACATAAAAATATATATGTACAGAGAGATCAAAATCGCGTTCATGATTTATTTGATATCTACTGTTTCATCTGTTTACTTATACATATTCGTCTCATTTTTAACATGAATAAAATTCATATTATTATAGTTACATTATTGCAAAAACTCTTTTTAACTTTATGCTATTTTATAATCCCTTTCATCTAGTACAAACGTTTATTTACTTATCTATTGTGTATATTTGTTTATTGTTCAAAATATATCTTCAAGAATGATGAAGTTAGAAGAGAAGAATATGTTCTTAATTTTTTTTTTCTACTTTGACAGTAGTATAGCCACTGGTAAAACTAATTGTTAGAAATCACATAAATTTAATCATTGACTATAAAGAATCTATTTTAACGTTTTAAATGATCTTATTTAGTGTAAAACTATAAAATAATTTATCCGCTGTTGTCATGTTCACTAAAGATTTGATGTTTTTTTATTCTTCTTCTTCTGAGCTATATATAAACATGATCAATGTGGTGGCACAATTGTCAGAATATTCTTTCAAAGGTCACATATTTAAAAAATAAACATGTATGTAAATGACGTTTGAACACAGCAGGTCACTTTTCAACAATAAGAAAGAAATAGAAGACGATCATCGTTTTGGTGATAATCGGACGTTTGTTTGTCCTTCACTCAACATTTTGTTCATATTTCGCGTTAAAACATTCGTTTAACAGATAATATCAATATGTTATTATGCATGTTTTTTCGTTTATTATAATGTAAAATGAGCTGTGTACATGTACATATATATATATATGTATATCAATGAAGGACTCTGATTGTAACGTGACAAAACCCTCTTTTAAATGATTGAGAAATGTTTCAATATAAATACAGATATCTCTATATTGATGAATACGGAATTAGTAACGCCTTTTCTCTTGTTTCTTATTTGACAATTTGTCGTTACAAATTGGAGGGAGAAAACCTGATAAATTAAATGATAGAGTGAATCGTAGTTTGTTTTACGAACATATATATCTTTGTACATTCAACTGACAGACAGTTTGATGTTCACACTTTTTTTTTTTACAATCAATTCATTCTCTACATGAAAACGTAAATAATTGAGTTCAAGAAGGCTAATGAACTGTGAAATAACTATAATCAACTAAATGATAATCAACGCTTTTTTTTTTTTTGCAGTTCTTACCAATTATCGATTATAAAAGAACCCTAATTTGTTGGTGTTAAAGATCAGAATTTTTTGACTAATATAGAAAACATTCTGGATGTTGTTATGATTGTGAATTAAGTTTATAGTTTATCGAATATAAGTTGTTTTATTCTAATTATTGTATATAATCGGTTACTGATGTGGTTATTATTAGTAGCATTTTAAAATGGTGCCTTGTGCACGTACAATATATGCAGCAGGTGTGGGGCCTCTCTTATGAAGCAGATTTAATAAATAGAGAAGACATGCACTATATTTTTTTCAAGAAACACTTGATTGAATAAATCTCAGACAGAATTTTAGATATTTTTCTTCTATAGAGAGGTGTCAAATATTACCCAATGATATTCCATATAATTTCCTATGTCATATGTCGTTTTTCCGCATATGTTTAATATTGAACTAAGTTATTTATTGTTTCACCTTTGCTTACATGGAATAAAAAGATGTAATATAGTAGTTCTTCTCGAAAACGGAAATGCTAAAACAAATTATTAGCAGGAGAAAAAACTGATGTTCTATCTATGAAGGGGAAAAAAAAAGAAGAAAGAGAAATGATCTATGTATATATATATATATACTACTACAACTTAGTGATAGATGGACAGAAGAAAAAGAAGGGCACATCACATCATACCGCAAATGATCTGCATTGTAGATGTATGTATGTTCAAAAGCATGAAATGAGCGACGACGATATCGATAGTTTCTCTCTAATGCCGAAAAAAATGAAAAATGATGATGACTTATTGAATTCTTTCTTTTACATGTGTGTGTATATGTATGTGAACGAACATTAACAAAAGAAGAGAAAAGAGAAGAAAAGAGTACGTTGGATGATGTTCATATTTTATTCAATATTGTGTACAATTCACCCACACACCTTCATACCGGTCGAATCATCAGTAATTATATATCTTATATTACTCCTACTCTTAATATTGACAGCACAGCTGATAATATTTTGTTCAACACTTGTTATTGTAGAGAAGGAGGAGAAAAATATTTTTGTTCAGCATGGTCTCATTAAAAAAAAAACGTTGATGGTTGCATGTATAGTCGTTTGTACATTGCTACTATCTTTTCATATCATGGAAATTTGTTTTTTTTGTAACTAGTCAAGTTACATCATATAGAAATCATTAACGTCACATTGTTGTTGATAAAGGTAGTATCAACTAAATAAGACAAATTTTGGACATTAATAGCTTTAGTCAACAGCATAGAACTATTGAACCCACAGTGTTAATTATCGAGAGAGAGACAATGATGGGCAACTATATGAATTTGTGAATGAAATTATTCTGTAGAATGGTGCTTTTTTTTGTCAACTCTTTCGATTCTTAGTTTTGGTTACATGATTAATATTTTTGATATTTTAATTAATTTTAGATATGACTAATTTTAAATTTAATCAATGACGAAATTATTATTATTATTCTCTAATGTCGCCATTACAATATTTTCTATTTATAACGGTTACGCATATTTTCAAGTTAAATGGTAAGTCACGAAACATATTTTATCCTTCGTAAAACTAGCATGACTAATAAATAGAAAAGTTGATTTTCATTATGCTTGTTTTCTATCGATGAAAGTGAGGCACCCGATGAACTCTTAAGTATCCTCTCATGAATTAATTGTGTTGACTAGTAGTTGACAAAACTTAAAAAAAAAACGAAATAAATAAGTTTTTTTTTTCTTTTTTGTTGTGGATGGTACATCTTGTTCAATATATCCAACGTCAATTAAATTGAAGTGACATCATCGTTTTTTTTCATGTCAGAACATGATTACATTTCAACAAATGGATGTAAAACATTGACTGTACATCTACATTAAAATAGCATACACTCTGTTGAACATCAAGTTATGAGACGAATGAAAGTGAAAGATGAAGAGAATTAGTTTCAGATCAATTATGAGAATATAATATTCTCATTGTACTTAGAACTTGAAATTAATTTATGTTAAATCTTGACTAGTTTAGCTCTTAAAAAGAAGAAATTTTGTATTTAGAATAATTTGCTTATAACTTAAATATTTATATTTAGATGCTCTACCGCAAGTTCGTGTTCGTCCAAAATCGGCAGTAATTACATCATCATCTGAAACACGTTTATATTGTGAAAGTGATAGTCAAATATTGTCTGTTGCTTATTGGACGCATGTTGGTACACGTATAGAAATAAAACCAAATGTTATTGAAGCATCAGGAAATGAATTACGTATATCACAATTTGGTGATACTGCTTATACACAACCAGGCGAATACGCTTGTGTTGTTAAAACGAAATATGGTCTATTAGCAAGTGAACCGGCATTGTTAAGTTTACCAAGTAAGTAAATATATGAAAATCGTGATAATCAAGTAAAAGAAAGGTTAAATCTCTCTTTATTCTTTCATTTTGCGACACTATATTTTTTTTTAATTCTCTTTACCGTTATACATATATGAATTGATTATTATTTTTTTGTGCGGTATTTCTTCTTTTTGTTTGTTCTTTTGAACTTTTGTCCTCCTTTCTTGATGAATGTTGTCGTATCATTTATTGTTGCCTATGAAAACACACATACACGCAGAGCTCTTTTTTATCAATGTCAGGTGTGCAGAGAAGTCAAATCTGTCAAGAAAAAAAAGAAAAAAATGGATTAATGAATGTGTGAGGAGCAACAAGAGACGATGTGAGAGAAAATGATTTGAGCTCATTTTGAAGAGCCGATAGCGGCAAAAATTTGACATGTAACGACAGATTTTGATTTAAGATAATGAGCAATGTAGTGCAGACATAATTAAAAAAATCAGGTTGATATGACTAGTGAAACCCATTCTATCTCCCATGCTTTTGCTAGAATTGTCAAGAATATGAATTTTGATATTTTAATAGATATTTTACATAGTCTGTGCATGAGAGAATCTTAAATTGGGCAAAGTTTTAGTAAAAATCAATTCTATCAATACTTTAAAAAATAAAGCATTGATTTGTGGTATTCGTTAGAGAATATTTGAAATGAACAATCTTTTTTCTTTCTTGTCTTTTGATAACTCTGTTAATTATAGATAATTAAATATAGCCACCTACGTTTGTTTGATACAATTACTCTTGTAGTTTCGACTTATTAAGTGGACAATTAGTAAAATAGAGTATAGTCGTCTATTGTTCGATCTAGACACTTTATTACTTTTCGATATTCAAATCTATGATTTAGATTGGATTTCCATTGAAACAATAATAATGTTAGATAAAGGCTATTCTACCTTTTATTAGTTCTTTATTCTTCATGACCTATTAAAGGTCTTTTATAGACGAAATTTAGTTCTATCTGAAAGAAAAGACACGAGAGACTCTCTTTTATAGAGTCAGATATGGACACAGTAAACAAAAGAAAAAAGCGTTATATCTACTTGCTACTAGAGTTTTGATTTTATTAATAAAAAATAGAAAATGAACTTATCGTGAAACAGTAGCCCGTAAGTCCACTTATATTTTTATATTAAGTAGTCTTTCTCTTTGCTCTCTAAATTTTATTGATTAAATATGTCCTCTTATTACCTCCAAAGGTTAAAATGTATTCTCTTAAGTTTAATCACATTTTTCGAAGAAAAAGTGTGATCAACACTTGAGCTATTCTGTTCAAATAAAACTAGTTTAAAAGAGCAAACTGTACGATAGAAATTGTCAGTTTTATAGTCTTAAACAACTCTTCTCAGGCGTACTACGAACTGATGAAGAAACAGCCAAAAATGTTTTCCCATGATGAAACATGTTTTTTTTATAGATAATATATGATAGAAATGATGAATCTGATATTATTTCCGGCTAGTGTGCCTCTCTTTCCAAAACTAACTTTCAAAAGATCAATATCTGATACTGTTTGTTGGTGGAGAATATCAAATTACATATATTCACAAAGTATTCGAATTAACGAATAAGTCTTTGCTAAGTTATAACTGTTTCAATTCAGATATTATCAAATAAAGCAAATAAGAGTATTTTTCTAAATTAGTTCTGTAAAATTTGTTCATGTCTACCGTAAATTATCAATAGAAAAATTGTGCTTCATCAAAGTAGCGACGGAATACTTGAGAGGCTTTACTCATAAGTATATTTAATCACTTGTTTATAAATTACTCTTTGCAATTTTTTTGAAATAAAGATATATTCAATAAAAATGCAATACTATTTTCAACATGCTGTTTTTCCAGGAAAACGAGAGACCATTTTCAGGGAAATACGAATATTTTATTGCCAATATAGTCACTTTTTGGTTTTATCACGTTCAGTTGAAAGAATTCTTTAGAAAGTGTAGGAGAAAGTTACTCAGACTATTTTATTTTCTCTTGCTCTTCTACAATCGTCATTTTTCTCTAATACAACTTCTAAATAGCTTATTTCCGATAAACAATATTTCTATCTATTCATACAATACTACTGTACTACAGATAATCAATGTTAGTATATAAAAGCAGTTGTCAAAATACAATGTCAGTCGATGATATGTAAACAGTGTTGTAAAAAAATAAGAAAAGAGAGTATGAGAAATCGCACACGTGTTCTAATCTTAAATGATTGTCTACTCATTTATTGTGTGAAACAATATGAACTATAATCTACAGTTCGGAGAAAATGATAGTTTTGGTTTTGAAAATGAAAGATCGTAGAAGTCAAAAAAAAAGTTAGTCTTTCAGAATTTCATAGATCAGTCAATTTTGATTGAAGAGTAAAGAATATTTGTCAATTTGCTAATATGTGTATATTTTTCTTTTTATAGAGAGATTACGTAAGCTTTTTACTCTGTATACTTAACATGAACAATCGCCGGAAATTCATTTAACTTGTATCGAGTATTTTATATCTAATAGATGTTAGACACAACTAAGAAAATGAATGTTGAATAAAATGTCATTACATTCGTAACATACACAAATAGGATGCAAATTATTTGCATGTTCATATAAAAAAAAATGACGTGTTGAAACAAAGACTATCGTATCTTCTAATTTTAAACTGTAGTGTCTATCTTATAGCTAGTACGATTGCAATCACATTTTTCGAGAGCTTAACTGTATGTTCTCTAGTTAAAAAACATAAAGACATTTTATATGTTAATAAACAAAATGAAACAAAAACTTTGTTAAATACGATTGTTTTTATTTGATGTATGTGCAAACAATTCATCCGCAAATTTTCTTTTCTTATGATTATTAAGTAAATTCATTCCAACCACGATCACAATCAACTCTATTTCATGTATAATTTCTTTTCAAAACAAACACCTTTAGATCAGCACTACCATCATTTTTGTTCATTATAAAAATATGGTTTTGTTCAGTTATATGTAAAGAATAAAGAAAAGACGATTTCCCTTGAGAAGAAAAAGTATAGTCTATATGGCAGAGAGAGAGACAAGGGTCAAGAATATTAAAAGGATATGAAATCAGGCGGCAGACAAAACTTTTCTTGCCTTAGGGTCTGCTTTGTGTGTGAGACATGATAATAAAATTCGATACGTGCTCACAACATAAACTAACGTCTAAATTACTCATATCTTCTAATTTCTAATCATTATGGAGCATATATACTACCTCTTTCACTACATTTCTTTTGAGATTGCCGTTGATCGAATTTGTTTTACGTTTTTGATTATAAGTTAGAGTATAATGCTTTTATTTTAGTTAAGCACGCGAAACTATTACTATTTAGACCCATAATGTTCATTGTTATTCACATTATACACATTATTTTTTAACTATGTCTAATGATAAAGTAGAAGAGAGAAAGAAAACCAATCTGAAACCATACTATTATCAAGTAACAAAAATGACCGACTGATAAATGATTCAACATTCTCCATTTAATAACAATAAATAGTCTCCTTCATTCCATTGTCTATGAATTATAGTTATAATATACAAATGAGATTCACAGATGATGAATGCCTTCTGTTGTAAGAGGTGGATGTTACCAAAAATGTATGTATTTAGATGAGTAATGTTAATAAGAGAGACACCCATGCAAACGAACTTTCATACTTTCTTCAGAATTTTGTTAGTTTACACTCTTACTGTAATAATCAACAGTCTATTCCTATAGTTCATTGTAGATCACAAATAAGATTAAAGTTTTGTCCATTCAACAAGTTTTTGTTGCCACAATGGCAAATAGTTTTCAACCGCCAAAAGAATAATATAGCCTGATACTTTTAATTAGATCAAAATCAATCAAGCACATTCTCTTCGTTTTCTCAACGGATATTATCTTTTAATTCACTTAGCGTGTCTCCTATAGATGGACTGTACAGTTGTGTCCGTATTCAGTTCAAAAAGAAAAAAAAACATAATTTACCAGCGTGAAACACAAACATCCGGTCTATGATGAAGATTCACACTTTTTTTTTAATCCCCACATTTCTTCGCTGTTGTTTTTTTTCCTATCATTTATTTGAACAACGGCTAATCATAACCACACAACAAGGCTATGCCATAAAGCAAACATAAGAAATAGTTAATTTTCAACTAAAACGTTCGAGGGTCAAGTGTCCATCCATTTTTATTCGTATGAAAAGGAAGTTTCTATTATCATTTCTCTCACAATTGAATTTAAACAGAAAAGGAAAAGCATGTGGATGAACGACATTCCATCTGCCTATTGTGTATATTCGTCAAAAAAAAAAAAGAAATAAGAATGGACTAATTAATCAATAAAAGCCAATTAGAGATTGACGAGCATGTGCGCCTTGAAACTATTAAAGACAACATGAAATAAAAACCTTGTCAACGTAGACGGTTTCGTAGACCTAAAGGTGATACTTCTCATTATTTGAATGCTTTCGATTCAAAACAGAAGTTCACATTAGTTGCGTATTAAATATGGAAAATATGCGATCAATCTTCTTGTCAATCATTCCTAGACTGACATAAATAATAGTTTAAGAAATGATCGATTATCCTCAAATGGATAATATAACAGTTTTTGCACAAATGTCGAGCGCTATTTCATCATGTTCTCAATATTTTGAAGATTTCGCTTTCTTTTTGTTGTTAGAAAGAGTAAAAGTCTAAACAGATCATGTATCTAACAAATTTTTCTCTCACAAAACGTCATTGAAAAAAGTCAATTCAAAGACTAAATATTAGTTACAATGTTCTTGCAATATTTAGCCTCTTTTCGAACCGTTTTTTTTCTCGGTCGATTGCAAATTTGAAGAGTGGCGGATTATTACATCTGAAAGTATTTAAAACACTCTTCGAACTGGTGTATAATAAACTTCATTTGTATTCAGATCTTTTAGGAGAAATAAACGTTCTTAGAAAGTCAATTATTTAGCATTCATTATCAATTTTTATGCACTTAGTTTCAGGAAGAACATGTTTTGTTGAAAAACTACGGATTTTTTGATGTATGACCATTTCTAGTGATGTTTGGTTTTTGAATTAATTTTTTTCAATGACGTTTTGTGAGAGAAAAATTTGTTGGATACATGATTATGTATCTTTTGTTGTTCAGACTTGACTTTTGCTCTTTATAACAACAAAAGAAAAGCGAAATCTTCAAAATATTGAAAACATGGTGAAATAGCGTTCGGCATTTGTGCAAAAACTTTCGTGAAAACAGTTGGATAACGAAATTTTTTCTGAAGGTGGAGAGCTGCTATCGTTTTATAGCTTTTTCGTCCATCATCGCTGGAGAAGGATTCAGTTGTTGCCCAGTAACTTCTCTATAAACTTTTATTCCGTGATTATTTTGTTTCTCAACATGCAGCAGCATCTGTGAGAGGTGTGTTAAACTTTTCACGGTCATTTTGTTCCTGCAAACTTTCACAACTATTTTTCGGTAAAAGTTTCACAGAATTGATCCTCTTCTAGAGGAAAAAAATAGACATGGCAGGACTATGAAGCGAGTTGGGTTCTAGTGGAAGAAAGAAGAGAAATGAAGTGTTTGATAAAATTAATTAAAAGACAAGAAAACTCTCGTGATGTCAGAGACTCATAAATAATTAGTGAAGTGAAACTTCTGATTTTGTGGAAACAGCTTATTATTCAATCGATACACTTTTTGAATTCCATAAATTTTTTGTCTAAATCGCTTGGTTCATGTTTAAATAGATAGTTTGTTCAAGGCAAAAATTAACAGTTAATCAACTGACTTCTCGCTAATTTTATTTGCAATTGTCGGAAAAACAGCAGCATTGATTTATTGATTGATATCTAACTTAAAAATGTTTTTTGTTTCAGCATTGGATCCATTTAAATCTTCAACAAACTTATCCACGACAACATTGAACATAACAGAGGGAAATATAGCTGTGATACCATGTGATTTACCAAATGGAAATCCAAAGCCGGTGCCAATATTCTCGTTTGATAATGGACGCATTATTATTGACCGTGATACAAGTATGTCTGAATATTTTAAATCATCCACACAATTATTATTTCTATTATTCTTTCTATTGTGTACATTAGGTCGTTATAAAATATTACCAAGTGGCAATTTACATATAATTAATGTAAAAATATCTGACACAGGAAAATATCGTTGTTCAGCTAAAAATCCAGTAACGTACCAAATTGTAAATAGTAGTAAATCAATATTTTTAAATGTTACAGGTATAATTATCTAAATACAACAAAAAAAAATGTTCATTAGGAAAAATTTTCTGTTTTATTTTTTATTAGTACCCAAAGAAAAGATACCATTAATTCCTGTTTATATACCACCATCAGCATCACGTGTTCTAGTTGGCGATAATTTTTCTCTTGAATGTGTTGTGGCTGGAGCACCTGTTCCCGTTATTGAATGGGAAAAATATAGTAATATTATGCCAGAAAAACGCAGTGAAGTTCTACACGGTAAGATTCATATTTTCATATTATAAAAATTCTTTAATTTAAATACTATCATATTCAACAGGTACATTATATTTGTATGATATTCGTTCGGATGATCGAGGATCATTTATTTGTCGTGCCTCAAGTAGTATTGGATATTCAGATGTTGCATACACAGCATTGTTAGATGTTCTCGGTATGTTAGAGAAGTTGATATTTGCTTCATGTGTCATAATTAAAGATTTGTTTTTTGTAGAACCACCAAAAGTAGTACAACGACCTGATTCACTTATACAAATACAACGTGGAGAAAATGCTTATATAAGATGTGGTTTTCGTGGTAGACCAGAACCAGTTATAACCTGGTTATTTAATGGGGAAGAAGTGTCTCTTAATGGATCACCAGCGATAGGTAGGCTGAAAAATTCCGTTTTTTTTTTTTTTGGTTGGTATTTATCAAGATGTTTAGTAAGTCAATTGAAATACTTTTTAGGTGGAACATTGACGATAAATGAAGTAAAAGAGTCGAATCAAGGTATATATCAGTGTATTGGCCGAAATTTATATGGTATGGCTCATGCTAGTGCTGCACTTGTATTACCAACATTTCAAAATAATAAAACTCAAAATAAAGGTATATTAGAGTATGTAAATGTGTCGAAGATAAAAAAATAATTTTTTTCTATTCTATTTTAGAAGTTATAAATGATAATTCACATCGGCACTCTTTAATTATTATTGGTCCCAGTAATATGACAGTTTATGAAGGTACATTAAATGCGATCTATTCATTATACAATTAAATATTAAAAAAAAATTAACATCATTTTCTAGGAGAGACAGTTCAGCTCAATTGTTTAACAAAACGTGGTGTTACTGTACAATGGTTACATGAAAATGTGATTATAAATCCAAATTTAATGAGACGTTATGAAAAGTTAACATCGGGAGGATTAAGAATTGTATCGGCACAAAAATCGGATAGTGGTTATTATGAATGTATTGCATCAGATGGTTTTGGAACAACATCGGCTAAATGTTATATGAATGTTCGAGGTCTGATTACGCAGGGTTAGTCTGCTTTCAATGTTGTTTATGGTACATTTGCATGAGTAGAAACTCATTTGTGCATAGTAATGTCATGTGAATAATAGTGTTCAAATGTGTTAGAGCTTTTGTGATGCTACTACAAATAAGATATCTTTTTATCTATTTCTACGATAGAATATTTATTTTATTTTAGATCGAGAAGCTAAATTATTGGATGAAAATGGTGAGAATATGTTGTTACCATTACAATCTTATGAAAAAGGTAGCTTGTTTCGTTAATACAACAAGACTTTCTTCTAAATGGGTCATTTAATTTAGTTATCAAAATTGAAATTATTGATATGGTTCAAATTGATAATAATGCTGTTGACTTATTTTGGGAAATCAATGGTACATCTGATCTAAATTATGTACAAGTACAATATGGTTTGTTAAAAAATAATTGGTTGACAAACGATGAAAATCTTACTACATCTGTTAAACATGCGATTATTGACACTTTACAAGCTGGTATGTTGTGTGTTGAATAATTATTGAACAAAATAAAACTATTTATATGTGTTATATTAGGTTACGTGTACAAATTTCGACTGGTGGGTTTTGATCAACAAGGTCAACAAATAGTTTCCAGTTCTGTACGTAAATTAAAATTAGAATATATGGATAATAATGATCATTTAACGAAACCCGTTCAATCAAATATGAACAATAATAGTCCAATTCCGCGTATCACCGATGCATGGGCATTACAAGACGGTTCAATTGGAGTAAAGTGGCAGGTAAAGAAATACCCATTCATCTCTAAATCTTATAATAAGCTCTCATATGTTTATATATATTTTAGTTACCAACTAATTCTACAACATCGCCAATACTAATTGATGGATTTGCCATATTTTATCGACTTTCTCGTATAAAATCAAATTATACTAAAATAACAATACCAAATGTTCGCTTTCCACCAATTGATACATACACAATCACAACAATAGAACCAAATCAACAATATGAATTACGAATGGCAACATATTCTTCGCGTGGTTTAAGTCAAATGAGTAATCCAATGGAAATTCTAGTACCACCAAGTAAGTTAAACTATTAAATATGAGATTAACTTAAACAATAAATATAAACGTTTATAAAATATCATTTGGTAAATGTACATTATCTTGGCTATTTTTTCTTATTATTAGTTTCAAATCAACAAGCAGCTGTAAATCGACGATCGCGTATTAATAATTATAATGATGATTCATCTTCAATCGATTTAGAAGAAATTTTAGAAAATATAACAAAATTACAAAGTGTAAATGGAAATAATAACAATAATCCTTCTGCAACCGTTTTATCTACCTCTTCGTCGTTAGCATTAGCACAAAAAAATTCTGATTTATTATATTTAATTACGGGAGCGATAGCTGGCGTCTTACTTCTTCTCTTGATTATACTTGTTATAATGTGTGGAATTAGATATAGACAACATAAAAAATTTGTTGCACATGTTAAATCAGCAAATGGTTCAGCATTTTACGAAGATGCAATACAAAAAGGTCTTAATCCTGCGAACTATGCATTAACACCTACTTTAACTCATGGTGTTGTTGCAGTAGATGGTAAGATAAAATAGTTATTTCCATTATATTTGTACATATTCATTCTAAAGTATTTTTTATGTAGGAAAACTGATACCGTTCGCTTATCCATCGTCACATAATAATCAACATATCGTATGGAACAATCCAACTCAATCTAATATCATTACATCAAATGGTACCATAGACACTGCTGCTATACACATTAATTCCAATCCACTTGACGAACAAGTATGTAAAGAATAAGTACAAGATCCGATTTACAATATATTCATGTTTAGGTAAACCAAGAGAATTTTTACCATACCTTAACACCATTTAGTACATTACCATTTGATGAACATTCTTGCAGTAATCAAAACCATGGTAAATACTATTACTTAGTTTAATAGAACACTTGCAAAAAACATATTTTTCTTTTTTTTCAGGTCTTTTTGGCTATAACAATGATCGTGGAGCATGTCCGATACATCGTACTCATAATCAAAATTATACGTCAGATACATTTCCATTAAAATCATCTTCAACAAAAGATGGTAATAGTAAAAACAATGCTAATAACTTAAATCCAACACAAAATCATTTTCATCATCAATTTCTACATCATCACATACCACATGCTACCTGTCAAAGGTTCAAAGATAAAAAACATTCACAAAATAAAAATAACATAAATAATTGTAAGTAATTTTTGAGATGAAACGTACTGTTTATCATCCGACTTTCTTCTCGATGACGTTTTAGGTGAAATTATTCATGACTTGTGCGATCGAAGTTTTTGTCATTCTTCGAACGATTCCAGTCATCCACTATTGGTTGGTGACAGTAATAATAGTAGCGAATTACATCATTGTACTGCAGTCGGTATACGTAATAATATGAATAATACTACGAGCATGAACGGTGTACTTGTACAGCCATGCACTGGTTCAGATTCGTCAAGTGGTATTGGTTCGAGCGTTGAATCACCATATACGGGTTGGAAATATTTAACACCACTTTGTGTTTCTACTTCGTCGCATCAACAGTCACACGAACAACAAACATTCTCACCAAATGATAAGCAAAATTCGTCAGATTCTACCAATACAAAAAATATACGTTCAAAAAATACTGACAATTTATCACCAAACAATAGCGTATTATTAATTGAACCGTTAAACAGGAATGAAAATTCAAACCATTTATCTTCATGAAAATACTCTCTATTTTCTTATAATAATTTTCTATACTAAAAAATGACATAAACTTTATTAATTTTATTTTTGTTAACTTATATTGAAAACAATGCACATCTACTTTCAAGACGAATTTTTTCCCTTTATACGTTTTTATGTTATTATTGTGTGTGAGTGTGGTTTTTTCTTACCATTTTTTTTCCTTTTTATAAATAACCGATTTTTACCATCACTAAAATACACATCCATATATGCAAAAACAGTTATTTAAAAATTCAAAAGAAAGAAACAAAATTTTCTCGTATGCTATAAAGGATGTTCCCTTCACATTCTTTACAATGTTCATACTTTTGTTCCTCTATCCGCAGCAGAGTAATAATAGACGGACTACCGATCAAGAAATTTTTGACTTTAAACGACTAAATAAACTTGTTAGTTTTTTGAGAAATGTAGTTAAATCTGTGTTAAACTTTTCAAAATCGGTTTAAATCAGTTAAGCTCCCCTCCCCACCCCCGGGTCAGAAATCTATCTCAACCCAGGTAGGTCTGAATCAAACTTTCAGGAAATGTTAACCATGTCAAAGTGCGGTAACGAAATTTTCTTTTTCCGATATATCGTTACCGAGAATTCTTGTGCATGGCGAAAGCCCTAAAGCTAAAAAACAGTCTTAAGGAAAACGCAAAATAAGTTTGATTCTGTTAAATGTGTTTTACTTAAAAACTCTTTGAGCGTTAGATAATTTGTTGCTAGTTTGTTGCAGATTATCGGTCATGGTCGATCTGATGAACATGTGCGTGGCCATGTGCGACACATGCGTGCGCTTATGCAATACAAGTGCAGAAAAGCCATTTTTTTTACTATAGGACGTCTGGAAAACTCGCTCAAAAGCTATGAAAAATCGACACAAAAATTATGCCCCTAGAAAGTAGACACTTTGGGCTATCCAACCATATGCTTTTCTCAAAATCAATATTTTTGACGAAAATCGGCATTTCTGACATGGGCGGCTCTTAATCTATTTATCTTTGAAAAGAAATGCCAATATAGAAACTCTAGGTGAAGATGCATCGAAAAATGACAATATTTTTTTAAATAGCACCTGTAGTTGAAAGCTGACAGGCCTAGTTTTTTTTGAATTACGCTTCCGTTTCTCATAGAAATGGAAATAATCTTGAAAATTCTCTCTTTCAATAGTTTTTTGCATATGCAATTTATGATGACTACCAGAAAAGAGCAATGTAAGAAGCCAAGGATTCTGTCAACTCTTAGTCATAGGTGTTTAGTCTGATTACCAGACGTTTGGTCGCACGACATTTGGGTGCAACGACATTTGAGCGCATGTAGGACAAAAGCATTTAGTAAGAGTGCATTTGTTACAGCATGAATTTTTAAGTGAAGGGAAGTGACAGCATCGTATTTTTGTCACTTCCACAACAAGTAGATACGATTGATAGTTTAAGCATCAGAATAGTAAAAGAAAACTTATATTATAGAGCTTTGAAACACCAAGTGGAATATGTTGAGCTACTTCAGCTACTGATTTTGTATATAGGTTATTTAATGTATGTTTCGATAACGATGAATGAACTCTATTTTTGCGTGAGCATGGTAGTTAGGAAAGAGCATTGCTTATCAAGATGTAACACCGAATAATCGAGCTCGCCAATGTGATATCAACAGTAAATCGAATTCAAGCGAAATTTTGAGAGATTTAGTTGTAAGATTAGAACTGTTGTTATTAAAAATTAAATCAATTTTAAGTAGCAAATAAAATAACAGATATTTAAATAATATGCTAGTTTAGTTTGTTTTTATTTGTTGATTAAAAATTAAAATTAAAATCAAAAAAATTGAGGTAAATTGATTGTTAAAAGAAATAATTTTTTTTCTGAGAAATAGAGGGTGATTCCGTTTTTTTGGTTACGAAATTTAGTGAAGAGTGGTATAGTCATATTACTATGGTGACCATTTTCTTTTACATTTCTCGCATTACAAAAAATATTGTTTTTGAGTAAGTGGTGAGACACGCGTACAGTTAACAATAATAATGAACCGTTTGTTACGTCGATTAGTAGCCTCTGCAAGTCACACAATTTTATGTCCTCAAATAATAAATGAGGAAGACCACCGTCGTCGGTATGGTTACTGCTGGAATACGGTTTATGAAAGGACAATAGAGAGAGATGAGTAAATGTATGACAAGCACGTTAAAATTATGGCGAAGTAGCAGCTGATGAGCGTCGTCACACTTGTTGTAGCTACTTTTAGCCTAAAATACGAATAAAAAAATAAGTCACCAAAGCCGGAATAGTTCCGTGAGTTGTGTGCGTTTAAATAATAAAGACCTGGGAGTCGTTGATTTGTTTTGATTGCTGCATCAATCATTCTACGTTGTCTTGAATATGGATAGAAAGTTTTATATATATCAGCTATAGTAGTAAACCAAATCAAATACCATAATCAGGTACGTAGGCGTTAACGAGGTCATGATAAAACAATGCGACGAATGAGGAAAATACTACGAAATAAAATTGCTGTTATCGCAATAACTCGTGTAGAGGGAGACATGATTTTTTTCAGTTTCTTTTCAAACAATATAGTTTAGTTTTTATGTGTAAAAAATTAAATTATGCAGCAATCTATTTAACAGGGTCAGTAAATCAGTTAAGTTTATTCACGAAAAGTGAGAGTCGTCCTGTCAACCGTCACTGATCGACGTATAGTAACAATGACTCAAGCCAAACAACTCAGAAAGACTAGCAATAAAAAGGTAAACAGGGTTGCCAAGTGCAAAATCGGGAATTCCGAAAAAATTCTGTTAAAATCATAAAAATTTCGATAAATCAGAAGACTTGGGAACCTTAAAGACAAAAGACAATGTCTATAGGACAGAGGCAAATGAAATAAACAGTAAAACAAATATAAAAGTAAACAAAACTAACATGAGAACTAGATGACTATAAATATGCTAAATGTTTACGATAAAAGATGTTTGAGATAGAGCTCATTTGAATGATGATAAAAAAGAAAAACAAATTGACTGATTCGGGTAATTTATTCCAGTTAGTCGTAATTTTGCAAAAAAATGAAGAGTGAGTTCTATGAGAAGAAACATAGTTGACAAGACTGGTATACGAACATATTTAGAGTGAGGAACGTGTAAAAAAAAGTGTAGTATAGGCTATAAAGAAAACGCAAAAATATTTATTTAATATTCTAAAATATTTGCGGCGAAGATAGAAATTTGGAAGAGACAGTTGTGACAAAGATAAAGAGCAAAATAACGATTGTGAGAAATAACACTTGCAGCAAGTTTAATATATTATAGTCAAATATCTCTAATAAATGAGTAAAGAGTAAAACGATACTAATTCTGACTAATTTTGTTGGCTTTGGAAATGTGCGAATTTCTCCATTTTTTTAGTTTAAAGTAAAAACTAAAAGATATCAGCTGAAACTTGGTTTGAATATACTAGACACTATAGGCTATATAATGATGAAAAGCGCAGCTCGACATCATCAAGGATATCGGAATGATAAATGAAACAATCATAAGCACTATAGACAGATGAACAGTTTTGTTCGTCGTAATATGAAAAATTCATACCTTAACAATATTATGCTACATTATGTACAAGAGAAAATTTACCGATCGTACGTATTACAGATATGCTCAAGCACAACATACAAATAGAAAGAAGGCCCAGCCAATTATCAACAACTTTTTAAATCGATCCTGCTGACTATACGTTGTACACAGTATCTACATTATTCATCTACTCTTCGTTTTTTCGCTTTCTTGCCGTTATCACATGCATGATGTTGATTGGGATGGTCTAGAAGAGAGAATTAAATTTAGGAGCGTAAATAACAGAGAGTAAAGTTTCAAAACGTCGTCTAACCTGTATGTCCAGTATACAAAATCAGTAGCTGGAGTAGCTCAACATATTCCACTTGGTGTTTCAAAACTCCATAATATAAGTTTTCTTTTACTATTCTGATGCTTAAACTATCAATCGTATCTACTTGTTGTGGAAGTGACAAAAATACGATGCTGTCACTTCCTTGTAACCAAAACTTTGTGTTTGGAAGCTCTTGACTATTCAAATAAACTTTCAAGCCTATAAAAGAAAGTCTGTTTTTATATTTTTCCGAAATTTCTGAATTTTAATTAGCTAACACTTACCAGCTTTTTCTAATGGTCCACCACTACAAGTTGCAACGATTAATTCATTACCATTTTTACAAAGGACTCTAGGAGTGACGTTAGATATTTTCAATTCACCGATACCTAAACATATTTTGTAACTTAATAACATGTAAACAGGTATGTTTGAAATCGTAAAATAATACCTTCTTCCATTAAGTTTGAGTACGCAGTTTCTGACAATTGGATATAAACTCCATTGTTTAGCTTTTCGCACAAAGTAAAAGCTAATTTAGATAGTTTTAGCTTTTCTTGCTTAATTAACGCTTTTGTTATTCCATATGTATTCAGTTTGAGAGTTAGAAGTTTCATTGGATAACTAAAAAATCAATAGAAGCACTTCTATAACATGACGCTCGTTAAGAATAACCACAAATGGATGATATAGATATTTGTTTAGTACTGATTTTGGTGGCAGAAAGATGAGACTCTTCCAAAATTACCCCAACGGGATATACTGTCTGTCATTTGGAGAAATTGTGGATAGTTAGAGCATGCTCACAGGAAATTGGTTAACGCTAAAGAATTTTTACAAGATTTTAAAACGTTAGATATACTAGATTCATTCAATACCACATTTTTCCGACTAAAACTGACTTAACTATAATCGAAATACTAAAAAAATTTTATGATCTGTTCAGAATTATCGTAAGATACTTTATGTGTTTAGAACAAAAATTTTAAGTTATTAAGATTACTTAATAAGATTTATGAAAACCAATTTCTCCAGGATTTTGTTGGATGTGGTATACTATGATTATGGTAGATCTTGAATTTCAAAGTGATTTTTCTATAGGTTACAATATCCAAATTTTTACTACAAAATACTGAAAACTCGAAGTCAGAAGTTATTAAAAGTATAGTGGACTACACTATAAATGGATAATGAAATTCATTCATATAACATCATACCTTTTCCAGCCTCGTACATAATCTGGTTGCGTTACGTTAAAATATAATGAATTTGTTTCCGTGTTATATAACACACTTGAATGTTGCGTTATTAAATTATCGGTTTCGTCAACTGTTGTATCTTCCGGAACTAGTTTGAATCGATGCTGTTTATCATCGAATTTGCATAGTTGAATGCACATATATTGTTGGTCATCAATATTTCTATTCCATTCACTTTCGATCTAGTAGAAAAATATGTTCTCTTCAGGAGGCACGAAGAAAAACAAAATACTTACCCTTGTTGCCGGGTAGTCTCGTTGACAAGCGCCAGCTTGTATGCATGGAAAAATCTTTTTCAACTCGCTAGGATACCTTTTGTGCTGGTAAAGAGCAGGTTGCTTTATAATGACCGGTTTGGCTAACAAGTTTCTTTGGTTCCTGCACAGTGAAGTGGTTGTAGGTGGACACGCTACAAGGATATGGTATTGGTAAAGAGAGCATTAATTTTTCATTTTATAAATGTCTAATTTACCAGGATTTGCTTCCATCGACAATTTGATCATATATCTTCCGGCATTTTCGGTTACACCGAAAAATTTGTCTGTTTGATCATCTATAACATACGATTCAAAGGACTTTTACAATCTTGTAGGTGTAATTTAAAAGAGTAATTAATCGCAATGGGGGGTGATAGTAAAACATGACTACACCCACAGACAGCACACAGACATCCACATATAGCATAGAGACGCCAAAAATAACTACACAGAAGTCCGTGTAGTTATTTTTGGTTGTCTGTAGGTGTCTCTATGCTGTCTGTGTAGCTGTCAGTGACTATGTGTCTGTGTGCTGGTTGTAGGTTCTGTAAGCGTATGTAAGCGTCTTCATGTTTTACTATTACCCTCACAATCTGTTAGTATATGAAAAAAAAGTAATTTACCTTTAATTATATAGCTGATATCATTTCTCTCATCTTTTGAAGCTCGTATCGTGGTTGTTCTACTCGAAGAATGGTCATCTAAAAGAGTATAAATAACTTTACTAACAATCCGCTTTTCCAACATAATCAACTGAATCGCTTACCCATAGAAAAGTTTATCTGTGTATCGATCATTTGATTACTGGGTTCAACTAAAAGTAGTTTATTCCATCAAACTTGACTAATTGTTCCGTTACTATTATACTTACCAACTTGATAAGTAGAATCTAATGTTTGGATAGATTCTCCATCATAATATTGTTGTTTGAATACTTTTAATAAATGTTCGATATCTGGATCATCACTCCGAAATATCGTTTCGACTGCGTAGTCTTCCTTTGCCAGATATAATGGCAAGTAATGATTGTTTTTGACATCGAGGAGTAAGTAGGCACAGCGTAGAAAGTGGAAATCTCCAAATCGTTGGGTATTTGCGATCTCATTATTAGCGTTCAAGCACAACACACGATATTCGATGTCATGTAAATTGGCAAACGCCCGTAATTCAATATCACTACCCCTAGTCTTTGACTTTTGAATATCTTCAGCATATTGTTTGACGCTCTTCTCGACGATGTAACGGTGTAAAGTAGAATTATGCTTAATTTCTTCAGATGCCCATCTTCGAAACACGTTGGTTGGAGTTAAGTTGAATGCCCCACGAAATCTAATGAATTTAACCGCTTCGAAGAGACAGTCACTAGGTTCACCACCCGCATTACAAACAGCAAATTGGACTACTGGTTTACAATTGACTAAAGAATCTTGCTGGATAAGTTGGCTACAGAAACAAGTATTTATTAAAATTGATCTCCCGCGTAACTCACACTCTTCTTACCCGGCACAATTGATTTCGTCAAAGTTTGCATTACAAATGAATGAAGATATGCTTGTTTCCGTTGTATTATGCCTTCAACAATACAGATCGCAGGAGTCTTATAACAGAAAGAGCGTAGCGTTATATTTTAAACATTTGCTAGCCGTTTTTCCAAATTAACTAACTTACGAAGTTATTATTCTATTACATCTGTCCTCAAATGATTTAGACACAGTTTTACCGATATTCTGATACTGTTTCATTCTTCGAAAGACTAACATATGGTAAAGACAAGGAAAACGTACGGTAAACCGTCATCGAAAGATCAGGTTGTATTCTTTTCTATTACACTTCGACGGGCGAAAAATAACATAACATATAGAAATGCACACGAATTTAAAAGATAGGACTCGTTTATATGAAGTCACACTCTAAAAAAAGGCATTCTTCAGTTTCTCAAACAACTGAAAAGACAATGGGATTTTTGTTCTTCATCTGTCCAAGTAGAGAGAGCTCAAATTCTGTTCTTCAGTTTTTGAGAAACTGATTTTTTCCGTTCCTTAAAAAGTTTGAGGAACATCTTTTTTTTCTTAGTGTACGTAAAAACTGTTGAGAGTGAGTACCTGCATCACTTTTATAAATCACTTTTTCCTACAGAATTTAACTCGGAGAAATACAGACTACACGACTACTGTATGCTTACGAAGATATTATAAAGATGAGGCGTACGAATAGTAAAAAAAGATTGATAAACCACAAATAATACAAAATATGTCCCAATAGGTACGTAATTCCATCTCACTATCTAGGAAATGAATATATCTGTATGGATTCATTTGATTGAACAGTCAAATGAATCGGACAAACTATAATACATTTGTTGATTAAAGAGGCTCCGCTCGGCTACTGAACTATGGACGATGGTTATCACCATAGCTTTGGACATGCGGATGCAATTCAAAGGAATATTCATACATCCATGCAATTGTAATAACCATCACTTGAGGTATGAGACTATACGAACTATGACTAGAAAGTAGGAAGATCCATAGAGATCAAAAAAGTTTCAAAGTGGGATACAAGCAGACTGAAAATAAGAGGGGCGTTTTTCCAGTTTTTGTGCAAGTTTACATGAACGAGCTCCATTCTGTCATTTTCCAGGTTCATTTTGGATTTTGTCTCATACTCAGGTGATTGAATTGTACTATCCGATCGTACAAGATCGTATACGAATCGTACGAAATCATATACGATTAAGTACGATTTACATACGAATTGTGAAATCGGATTTGTCATCTGGTTCGTACTATACGATTTGATACGATCCAGAGGACAAATCAGATACCACGATTCATATATGATTTTCATACGATTTGATAAGATTTTGTCTGATTCAGATACGATCGTATACGATTTGTTTGACCCGGTAGTAGTTAACCAAGTTATACGGAGGAAATATTGTAAAACTTACATTATTTGGTTCGTATTTTCAAACGAAGAAATTATGAGATAGAAAAATACACGCAGTAGAAATGTAAAGGAATTGATGATCAATATAATGTATTTTGTTTAAAATGCTGGTATTATCATGCTGTAAGAACATTTATATAGTTTTGCGATGGAAAATTCAAGCTGCATACACCTGTGCCTTCATACCTTTTTTTATCCTTTCTCTTCCTCGTCCGTTTGGTCTACGCATTTTGACTGTGAAAATACAAGAAAAATTACTATATATATTTACTATATAAAAAAAACATATACTATGTGAAGGAAAACTGTTTACAAATGGAAGATATATTTGTTTCTCGTGATAAAGAAAATTTATACTCTTTTATCCATTAATAAAAAGTGGCTTTTCTTTATCAAATAATCAAGAAAAATCATTTAAATTTTTGTTGCTAAAATAAATAAGAAAAGGTTTCACGCTTCATCCACGAAGTTGAAAATAAGCGGAATGACAGGCACTTTTGCCTCAGAACTTCAAAAGTCAGATTTTTAACACGGATCTTTCAAAAGAAGAATTAGCAAACGAATGAGACAAAAGGAAACAAATAAATAATTACTCATTTTTTCAAGAGTACCCGTTACTGAAGTACATCGTTTAAACGTCGCGCATTCTGAAAACCCCGTTATACCGTATTCAAAGTATTGAGTCTATGAAAATTGATTTCCACTATTTTTACATTCATTGCCTGTACGCTATTATCGCGCTTATTTTCTTCAATTGTTTTCGTTAAAATCGATAACTGAGTAGAAATCTTTGAGATTTTTGATTTTCTACCTTTTCACATTGTGCCTTCTCATAAATACAGTCAAGGAAAGCATTATAAGTCATAATAGTTTCTTTAATAACATTCTTATCGTATTTTGTATTTGTTCCTTTAATCCATCTCAGTTGTCCCAAGGATATTAGTGGAGTCTAAAACACTACCAAGTTATCGTCCATCACTTGTGTAACACAGAAAACTTCAGCGCGTTCATTTAGATAGAGTGTGTATTATCTTTCATTCTTGAAAAGTTAAACTAATAATATACCTGTGAACAACAACATGCAAAATATAATATTGACTTTTCCTTTTCGGATGGAGCTTATGGCGTCATGTTGGAACCATCGTCTGGTCGACGAAAACATTAAAAATTGATTTCACCATGTTCTCGATCATGTCCTGAATAAATCATGATGGAATCAGGCGTAACGAGCTAAAACCTTTCTGGTTTTCAGAATGCGCGACGTTTAAACGGTGTACTTCCGTAAATGGATATTCTTGAAAAAATGAGTAATTATTTATTTGTTTCCTTTTGTCTTATTCGTTTGCTAATTCTCCTTTTGAAAGATTCGTGTTAAAATTCTGACTTCTGAGGCAAAACTGCCTGTCATTCCGCTTATTTTCAACTTCGTGGATGATGAACAATTTTAACCATTCATCCAAAATGACCTGCAGGTGCAAATGCAATAATTTTGTACCATATTGTATATATTTAAATATGTGGATATTAGTGAACTTGTTGTCGATGGCAGGTATTAATAGAAATAATTATGTTCAAATTTTGAAACTAATATTATTTCATATCACCGGAAAAACAATAAAGTTGGTTCTGAGTTGCTGAAAAGTGCTTTTTTGTATTCACCATACGACAACCCAGAGATTTTCTATTTTTGGCAAGGGGTTTAGCAACTAAAATTATTTTTCCATGGAATTTTTTTTTGCGTCATTTTATTTCAAAATTTTTCCTAAACTTTCACTGTTAAACTGATATCAATGTATTTCTTTTATTTGTTTTTTGTTTATTTACATAATATGTACTACTATCCGTTCCAACATACAAGGCAGGTGGTTGCTTTTTGAATAACTCCGGAAAAGAAACAGATAAAGACTTGCAGTTTTCAGTTTTGAATAGCCGAGACCTATACGCATCTTTTCACAAGCAGAAATAAATTTTGAAAAACATTCAAAGACCGGATTTTGAGCGGATCTTTAGAAAACCAGTTTGAATCTCTAAGAACTGAGATAGAAATAGGAATAGAAATAGGATAGAAATTTTGTTGAAGAAAAAAAGCGTGAAAAAACACAGCACCTAAAATTAATCAACTTCATTAAGATTTGATATAGCTCATCGTATAACCGATTCTCCTATTATAACCAAATTGTTTCATTGATCATCATGATAAATTTGAGAATGATAGAAATCATCATTCTATACTGTATTAGATAGATATTTTGAATTATTAAACGCCGAATTAATATGCAAACGAACGGTTTCGACACTTATTTCAAGCTTCATCGAAACAGAATAAAAATAGACAAAAGGCAGAAGTTTGAAGTTCTTTATATTTTACCCGAAAATATCTGAGTTGGAATACTCGTTTTATTTCATTAAATCGATGCTAATTCACGTTATACATCGATAATCAAATCTTTTGGCGAAATATTTAACGCTCGATTAACTGTTGCGTTCATATATACCAAATTTAACTACAACACCCCTTTGAATTGAAATAAACATAACAGACACATAAACTATCGAATCAACTCATCTTTCGGTCTTGCAGCAAAAACGGATCGTTTTTTCCTGTCAAAAACGTTTATCAACTAATCTGACACTCATTTTCCTCCACTGTTTCTAATGTCCAAACCATTTTTTCACCTCTCGATCCGTTCAGAACTAACCCGTGATAGAATAGGCTAGTTCATTTAACTACTTTTCGTGGCTTTCAGAAAAATAGCTATAGCTCACAGGTGGGATATAAACATCACAATTCTCTATCGTGTCGGGTTTTTCATACTAAATATTCTGCAAAATGTTTTTGATTCGTTCTTTTGACGTTGTCCCTAACGCTGTGCCCTCATATATTCGAACTAGAATTTCTATTCCCTTTGTTCTTACAATGTTTATAACATTGCACACACATAATGCTTAATAAAAGATGAGATGGCATTAAGGGACGCCAAGCTGGATAGATGACACTACCAGTAGTCTGCGAACTGTTGTAGTTATTTTAGAATTTCTGTTTTCACCACATATATTTTACTCACTCTTATTTATGAATGAAGTAGAATTATCTGCAACTGTTCATGCGGAGGTGTCTTGCAGTTTTGTGACGATCAATGGCTCAACAAATTCGTCAATGAAGAAACGAGTATGTGGAACGATCATCGCTGCTGTTAATATTTTTATTTTCATTATTTATTTATGCTCATGTGATTAATTTTGTTGAAGCGCTTTTGAGAAAGTTGCTAGTCTTGAGTATGGACCAACTAGCTTCAAATCGTCTTGTATCCAGAAAAAACTTTCATCATCTTAATCTGAGATGGCTAATTTGCGTAAAAGAATTAGTTTAACGTGACAACAAACACTGTTGGATGTATTTTGGTTGGTTATTTGCATTTTCTTCAATCTTGCTTCTAAAAGCAATCTCTAGTTGTTGTTTTTTTGGACATGTTTTACATACTTGTGTTTACCCAAGAAGTCATTAGAAATCTTACGAAAGTGTATTATAGGATTAGTGTACTTAGCGGTTTGCATTTGTTATACTTTTAGATTAAAAAACTGTCTAACATGGCAACATTTTCACAATCTGGTTTTTGGAGAGGTGGGAACACTCTTAAAGTCTCTATGGAATTATTTTCAAAAAATCGTCAACGTTTATGTGAATCATTAAGTTCTCATCCGACATTGCCGTCGCGCGCATTAATTATACTGCAGGGGGGTATGGCTGAAACACGAAATTGTACGGATCATGAACCAATTTTTCGCCAAGAGTCCTTCTTTCATTGGTGTTTTGGTGTTATTGAACCAGATTTTTTGGGTGCAATTGATGTTGCAACGGGGAAATCTATTTTGTTTATACCTCGTTTACCCGAATCTTATGTGTCATGGATGGGCAGAATAAAAGAGCCAAATGAATTTAAAACAATTTATGATGTTGATTTTGTTTATTATACAGATGAAATAGAAAATGTACTTTCACATTTTCAACCAACATCAGTCAATGATCAACAAGCACAATCCAAATCAATTACTCACCAATTACCGTTATTACTTGTGTTGCATGGCTTAAATACAGATAGTGGTAATCATTGTAAACAAGCACATTTTAATGGTATTGAAAAATTTCACGTCGATACAACAACATTACATCCAGTGATAAGTGAATGTCGTGTGATAAAAACAGATTTAGAACTGGAAGTCTTGGCTTACACGAATAAAATTAGTTCAGAAGCACATAAATTTGTTATGCTACATATTAAACCAGGTATAATCGCTTTTTTCTCATAATAATGACCTTGACCACTTCGCTAGTGAATGTACTTGCATGCTGGTACTTGTTCAAGTACCCACGCAAGTTTTGTTCAATGTTCTTGCATTTTTTCGCAAGTAAACCAAGTACTTGAATTAGTTTATCTTTTCATCAAGCACTTGCCTAAGTATCCTCCAAGTACCTATGCGAGGTTCAACAAGTAAATCAAGTACCTGGCAAATACTTTCAGACATTTATCAAGTAGTATTTTTTGAAAATACTTGTCAAGTGCTTACCAAGTACTCGTGGAAATTTGCGAGTAAACAAGTACCCACTCGCAAGTACATTCACTAGGGTTTGTTTTGTACAAGTGAACAGAAAATTAGATTATATTGAGTGTGGTGCCACAGCAAAAGTAGATTTCTCATTTTTACAAAAAAAATTTTCAAATCAATCTACAGCTTCATTCTGTGATAAATTGTTTGAATTCTTGAGTTAGATTTAGCACTTTTAATAGATACTTTTATTAACTTTGTGCTAAAACTACTGTTCTGTGCAATCTGCTGCTCGAATTTCATTATCAATTGTCTGTGGAGTATTTGTCTGCTAAATGCTCTGTTGTTCAGGTATGTACGAATATGAATTAGAAGCATTGTTCCAATATTATTGTTATCGTTATGGTGGTATGCGACATTTATCATATACTTGTATTTGCGCTTCGGGAGAAAATAGTGCTGTTTTGCACTATGGTCACGCTGGTGCGCCGAACGACCGGCAATTAAAAGATACAGATTTATGTTTATTTGATATGGGTGGTGAATATTATTGTTATGCATCAGATATAACCTGTTCATTTCCTGTGAGCGGTCATTTTACGCGTGAACAGCGTATCGTTTACGAAGCTGTGTTAGATGCTAATCGTCATGTAATGGAATCTGTTCGACCAGGTGTTTCATGGGTTGATATGCATTTGTTAGCCGAAAGAGTGCAATTACAACATTTGTTAAAAGCTGGTCTGTTAGAAGGAAATATCAATGATATGATGAAAGTTCGATTATGTGCAATTTTTATGCCACATGGACTGGGTAAGCGCCTTTGTTATGTAACACTGTTGTTGAAATACAAGCTTTTTTTGTTCAGGTCACATGATTGGTATTGATACACATGATGTCGCTGGTTACTTGGATCCAACAACACGAATACAATTACCAGGATTGAAATCTTTAAGAACAAACCGAAATTTGAAAGAAGGAATGTGTTTGACAATTGAACCTGGAATTTATTTTAATGAATTATTATTGAATAAAGCATATTCCGATCCTGAACAAGCAAAATTCTTAATTAAATCTGAACTCGATAAATATTTAGGCATGGGCGGGGTAAGAATAGAAGACAATATTGTAGTTACAAAAGATGGATGTCGTCTGTTAACACAAGTACCACGAACATGTGAAGAAATTGAACAATGGATGAAAAATAAACATGAAAAGTTGAATGTCGACGATTATAAGAAATTTTGCGAATTGAATGGAAAATATCGTTATGATAATCAACAACTGAAAGTCAATAAAATAAAGGATAATGTATCGTGTAATGGTGATAAATAACATTCGAAAGAGTAAAATGATTACTATCCCCACTAGGAATGTGAGTGATGTTTATCTTGTAGTCCTTTTAGTACAAAGCGTTTTCTCTTTAAGGTAAAGTGGATCGTCCAGTTCAAGATATGAAAATATTAGGAATGAGATTTGTCTTTTTTACTTTATCATATTTTAGAGAAATTTGCTCCATGTTATGGTTATGTTGATGCGTTAATTTAATTTATTCCGTTTTTCGTTGATAGTACAAGGAACTCTGATAGCTGTGTTTTATCGAAATTCTTGCTTTTGTCCAATATTTTTTTCTCCACTTTGTAGTATTTGATGAGGTGCAGTAAGTTTTCAGACATGTTAAGTATTACAGTTTTATAATCAAGCGTGTTAAATTCGTTTAGATAGTATTTATCAGTGAGTTAGTTTGTTGTTTTGAACGAACTTTTTGAATCTTTCTGCTTTTCTTTGGTGTGGCAGACATTTTTTCATGTTCAGGTAACGATTTCTCTCATTTGGCAACAAGATCAGTCCACATAATGTGAAATTTTTTTGCTAGATTGTGATTTCGATGACTGTTGTGATTTGTCTTTCTCTTCCACTCAACTGCTCTGATTGTTTACAAATGATTATTTATTTTTAAATTCACTTTTTTCTTATTTCTTTTGTTTGTTGATATAATCAAAATTTAAAATTGTTGGTTTTTAACTCAATATTGCTTTTATTTTTACAGAATTAATGGCTTCTATGTCATATAATCTATTACAAATACTTGGTTTATTTTATTGATCAAAGTTTTGATACTGTTTAATGTTTACTTTGATATGTACAGAAAGCATTAGCCATCTGAAACTAAACGAAATAGTAGCAGAAAATAATGACACGAATAAAGGGTATAAGTCTATCGGCTATTTGCACAAAATATCAGATATGTAGTAACTTTCTATAGTAAAACGATTTTATTGATGGATTGTTGCGAGAGAGATGCCAATGTATTTACCTGTTCGCTAGAATGTTTTTCAGCACACTTCCTGAGAATTGACACAGAATTAATCCAGAGAAAATGCTAAGAAACATTTCTTTAATCTTGTATATATCTGTCTATTGCAGATAACAATATCTTCAAATGGAGCCAATTAATATTGATTTATCGCATTCTACATGTGGTGTATGGTTAGTTAAAATGCCAAAATATTTATCTCAAATACTGAATGATTATGGTGAAAGTATGCCTGGCGGTGAAGTTGGTCGACTTGTAAAAAAGAATTCAACAAATACGAATGTTGGTCCATCGAAAGCACAAGATGTTGTCTTTCGTCTAAATGATCATATATTCGAACGTTTAAAACAACAAAATCCAACAATTGAGCAACTACCACCACGTGAACATCGTTTTATCCTAAGTAATATCTCTGATGGTGTCATTCGTAGTGTTTATACACGTACACCCACACAACAAACTTCACAACCAGAACAGATAGCGGTTGTTGGTAAAGTGATACAACGAGCTGAAGTACGACCAGTTGAAGATGAACAATATATGTCGATGAAACGTATACAAATTGAGCGTTCTCAAGAGCCAGCACGTAAAGTACAATTAATTAAACGTTTAGGAAATGTATATAAAGCACGTTCAAACCACGATGATAATATTGAAAATGAACGAATAAAAAAATTACACGGTAAACGTATACGGTTGAGTGAAGAACAAGTAGCAGATATGTTATTTAATGAATTTCAACAACATCAGTATATATCAATGCAATCGTTAGAACAAAAAACACAACAACCGCGACCATTTTTAAAAGAATTATTAGAAAAATATTGTGTCCGTAATTCCAGAGGACCAAATGCTCGAACATATGAATTGAAACCAGAATACAGACATTATAAAAAAACGGATGACACATCTGCGGGTAGTAGCAGTAGTATGTAATATATATGCTGTTTATTCTTCTAAAAGCATTATTCATCTGTTTTCTTCATTTTTTACTTTAAAATCATTATAAATTTGTGAATAGATAAAGGAGTTTCATTCGTTGGTTTGTTTTCTGCTGCTTCTTATCAAAACTCCGTATAGAATAGAATGGAGTTTTAAACATGTACGAAGCAAATTTTATTTTATTTCTTTTTGAAATTGTCGCTGTTTTACTAGGAGAAAATAATCGTATTTTAGTTTGTTGAGTAGAAAGCTTTTTTAAGTTAGGAGACTTGGCTAGAATACGTTACTTACTAATTCATAATTAAAAGCTCTCAAAACTAGTCCATCGGTTTAGATTTTGAGCATGACGGAAGATTGTTTGAGTGCTGAAATTTTGTAGCTATTCCTTCTTCCGTTAGCCAAGAATCGTTTGATTTTGTTTTTTAATGCATAAGGGAAATAACACATTGAAATTGTCCCTATCTGTTTCCAAGACTCATCTCGTTGAGAAAATTTGGTCCAAAGTTGTCTGTTTCGAAACGGATAGATTTGTCTTGTCACTGATTTTTAAAACTAGTTAAATGTTAATAGACTTCGGCATATATGTAGCACTTAGCGATTTTTTCTTTTTAGATTAATATTAACTCGTAATCTGTGACAATGTCGCCTGCTCCAGCAACTAGTGGTGGTGCTAAAAAAACAGTGAAAACAACAACTGTTACAACAAAAACTACTACTACAGCATCATCGAAAGGTAGTACATTGAAAAAAGGTAAAAAGAAAATAGCAGCAGCACCCCTGAAAGCAAAACTTGAAGCAAAAAGAGTAGTTAATCCATTGTTTGAAAAGCGTCCAAAAAATTTTGGTATTGGTCAAGATATTCAACCAAAAAGGTGAGTTCAAAAACAATAAAAATTATAATTTACGTTTGAGGTTGTGGTAATTATTTACTGATTTCGCTAGTGTTGTATATATTATCCACAGTATAGTGTAAAAACTAACGCTCGCTGCTCTTCAATTTTTCTGTGGTGGTTCATCATTGTCTTCTCGGGTAAGCTATAACTACAAAAAGGTAGAAATGAGTTTGCTCCTTCCGGATGTGAGATCAAAACTCCGTAATTCTTTTTCTATTATAAAAAAACGAATTTTTCTGCGAAACCGTCAATATTTTTAACAGATTCTTTTATCAAAAGGATTAGTAGAGGTTCAAATAGTGTTCTAATTATAGTGGTATGAATTCTTTGAAAAGAATTGTATAATTTTAGAAAATCAACGTTCGAGAAAGCACTGCTGAATAGATCGCAAGATCAAAAAGAAGAAATTGAAAGCAATTTTATCTTTTTTTCTACAGTACTATGTGAAACGAGCTGACTTTGCGTGCTGTGCAAAATCATTTACATGTATTACTTATCTAGATTTTTGAAATATACTCTAACGAACTTATACGTCCAATAGCTTGTTTTGTTAATGGAATCGCACATGAGATGATTTTAACAGTAAAGTATAGCTTTTGAAACTCATTCTTTTATTTTTAGAGATTTAACTCGATTTGTCAAATGGCCGTTATATATTCGCGTTCAACGTAAACGCAGTATATTATTAAAACGTTTGAAAGTTCCACCAACAATCAATCAATTTACACAAGCGTTAGATAAACAAACGGCAACACAATTATTTAAATTATTAGATAAATATCGTCCCGAATCACGTATTGAAAAACGTCGACGTTTAAAACTACGTGCTGAAACACAGGTTAAAAGTGGTAAACCGGATCGTCCAACAAAACGTCCACCTGTCATTCGTAGTGGTATGAATACTGTAACAACATTAGTTGAAAAGAAAAGAGCACAATTAGTTATAATTGCGCATGATGTTGAACCAATTGAATTAGTTTTACATTTACCAGCTTTATGTCGTAAAATGGGTATACCTTATTGTATTGTTAAAGGAAAAGCACGTCTTGGAAAATTAGTTCATTTAAAAACATGTTCATCACTGGCATTAACCGATGTTAACATAGACGATAAAAGTGGATTGAGCAAAATTGTTGAAGCAATTAAAACAAATTTTAATGAAAGATACGATGAATTAAGACGTCATTGGGGCGGTGGTAAGTGTTTTTCTATTATGTACTCTATTAGTTGAATTAGTTAGTTATTTTCTCTTCTTTTTCTAGGTATCTTGGGTACAAAATCACAAGCAAGAATCAATAAACTAGAAAAAATTAAACAAAAAGAAGCACATCAACGTAACGCTTAGACAACAAATAACAACGACAACTACAACAACAAGAAAACGGCTGAACATAAAAAAAATCGTTGTTTTTATCCGTTATTGTTGTTACATGTACGAATTGTTTTAGTTGTGTTGAAAAAAATAAAGTTATTACACCGTTCATGATCTACTTGACAAAAAACAGCGCAGGAACTCTTTCTTTTTATCAGCACTTTTATAAAAACAACAATATTCAAGTGAATCATCTGTGATCTACTATTGAAAATGTGAAATGTAGATAACACATTTTTTTACATTTGCTTTTATTAAAAATACATAAGATTTCGAACTCCAGATGTGAAGTGTATAGGCTAGAGAATATTTTTCGATTTATTAAAGTTTTTTTAGCCATAAATTTTGTTCAAAAGTGTTAAAAGATGTAGACAGTTGGCAAATTGACGAACAGATAGTATATAAAAGTATAAAAGAGACTTTCATATAGATTTTGTTGATATTTTAAATATCAGAAGACTCTGATATACTATATTGCTTATTACTAATCTTATTGGCTGTACTGCATTCTTTTTTGTTTCCTGCCATGATTTTCCAGCAAAATGTCCGGCCGTAATTTCATCAGATTATTGAGATGACGCATCCAAATTTGTATTTATTTCATAGGAAAAAGATCTGTTGAGTAAAGTGCTTTTCAACTATATGAATGTGTTTCGAAATGTTATGGATAAAATATGCTTGTTTTCATCAACAAATTCAATGAGTTTAATAACATAATTTCTTCAATTAACAGAGGCTAGTGTGGATTCTAACTGTGGCGAATTTAATATTTATTATGTCGATAGACATTATGCAATCGTTCAGGGATTTTATTTTTTTTCTTGTTTGGTCATCTGTTTTTTGCACAATGTACATACCATGACGTAGAAAACTTCTGAAAATAGGAGAATATTCTCTGGGTACTGAAGATTGACTACTGAGCGTTCTTTTTCCGAAATCCGCTCTGAATCGGATGCCACAAGGTCCAAAAGTGAAAGAACATTGTGCTTTGGACTTAGAAATTATTCATACATTCATTAACAGCTTATTGTCAGACGCCATTTGCTCACGAGTTATTCGGATACAGTTTATCTATGTATATGCGATTGATATTATGAATGAGTCATTGTGATTGCTTAAGAAGTAAATGTATTGTCATCTTACAGATAATGAATGTAGTCATATGAATGAATGTCTATGTAGAGGATAATACCTACGTAGCTTCAAGTTAGTGCATTGCAAATGGTGTAAATTTTTTAAGACTTGAATGATAATTATTTTGCAGTTTCTCTCTATCTCTCTGCGGGATTTCTCTGAAAGCAACCTGTCTAAAATTATCTAAATCTTTAAAATACATTCAAAACTATACTATCTACATTTTCATACTTACACAGTGAAAGTAATGCAGTGGAATTTTGTTGGATGAACTTTTGGCGGCTGTCAGCAGAGATAGAGTCTGTCAACATCGCAACTTGTGCGCAGCACTATTAGAATCTAGTTGTAATTGTCGTTGTCGTCATCAATTGATTCGAGAGGTATTTAAAACTCACGAGTCAAAAGAGATATGTATTGTATTCTAAACAAACAAAAAAACAGCTAGAAAATACCGTGAATTTTATTTTTCTAGTGAGTATTAGATCAAAATTTCCAAAATAAGATTGAGAAAAAACAGTTATAGATAGAATTGAAAACAATAAAAAAACGAAAGAAAATATGAAGTGTTATTTCTAGTTATCAACAGAATAAAGAACTTCGAATGAAGTGATCCAAAAGTCGTCATCAGATCAGAACGACAAAGAAACGACTACTATTTCAGCAACGTTAGAAGCGAACAGGTATCAGTTCTTTTCAAGAATTTTTCAAAATAAAATAAAATCGGTGAAACTAGTTACATTGGCTTGGTTAGTCCACTAAACGCACTATCTACCTTTGGCGCATTAAACAAAGCCATTGTAACCAGCTTCACCGATTTTATTTTAAAATAGATAATAAAATATAAACCGCCTTAGAAGATGATTCAAAGATTTTATTTTACTTTGAATTCTTGAAAAGAACTGGTAATCAGTTTACGTTCAAAAGATTGAACTGGAATTGTTCTACTTTTATTCCAAATAGAATAACGGAGGCCATTTATAGACCTTTGCAATTCGATTACTGGAAAACCAACATTTCAAAAAACGCAAACTCTTATCTCAAAACCAATTTTTGTATCAGCCATTTTAAATTAAGTTATTTACAACGTTTTCAAAACATGTCCGATAGCTAAAAAAATTGATAGACATAAATAACCTGATGTGCTGCACAAGAGGACTGGTATAGAAGTTGATTTTGAGATTAAGAGTTTTAGTTTTTTGAAAACGTTGATTTTCCAGTAACCGAGTTTCAGAGGTCTACACGTGGTCTCCGTTATTCTGTTTGGAATCAGCAGCATTGATTATATATATTTCTATGTCTTTTATACAAAAGGAGATTTACTACTTTGGGACCTTTCACTCTTAGTCTTCTTTGAAGTTAGTGTTTAGCAGAAAATGACTCAAGAAATTATTATTTTCAAATATCAATAAGGACTGTTCAAAATTCAAGAAAAACTCAAACTTATCTTAAAGTACTTAGCGTTTCGGGAATTAGTCATGACTAGTGTTATTGATCGTGTGATGTTAGTTTATTCATCTCTCCCGTGGTTCATCTCATCTCATTTGATTTCTCTAGTAAATTCTTTCATCCTGTTTAAGAGTATTAATTATGTTCATATGCTAAAAATAACGTAATAATCAAGAATAAAATTAAATGAAGTGGTCACCTACCTACTTGTGTAATTTCACTTCAAGATATTCTCTTAATTTATCGAGAATATCTTGATAACAGAAAACAGTGCTCGTGCTTGATTTTTCTATAAGACATACCAGTTGTAGAGTTAAAATTAACAAACTGTAAAAATAATCGGTATTAAGAGTTTTAAATTTATAGTATTGGTCATTTTTAAATGTCATACTCAAAGGTAATTTATCCATATTAAATGAAAAACTATAAGCTAAAAGGCAGAGAGTTTATCTCTACAAAACATAAGATTGAAAAAGTCTGCTAATAAGGCTGTTAGTTAAATACACGCAAAATCAATAAATCGACGATTATTTTTAACAACTAAATTTGCAAAAAACTAAAATTATTTTACAATTCTGGCTGATAACTTATAATCTGACCACAGACTGGTTGTGTGTTAAATACTCTAGTCAACAATAGTCAATCGCGGCTCTAGTGGATAAGTCCTGTTTGTAAACGATAGCAGCCTTAAATACCAATATTTTGCAAATAAAATACTTGCAGTAGTATTATCAAAATGATTAAAATTGAATGACAAAAGATACTTTTCTGTTACTTCAGTCCACGATTGAATGACTATGGCTGGAATGTTTTTAAACAAAGGATCTAAAGTCGACTTCATGATAATGGGTACTGCACCCATTAGTAATGCTTCCCATGTACGATGACAATCAATACCATTTCCTGATGGACTTAAAACAAATTTAGAATTTCCCAAATCTTCCAGATACTTTGATAATGGCGCGCGTTTTACAATATGAGCATTAGGAATTTTTTTAGCATATTCTAGAACTTTTATGCGTGCATCTCTATTTGTTAGCGGTTTGAAATTCACATATAACAAATTCTGTCTATCAGCAAATGGACGCCGGTATTTGTTGAACGATAGCGCTATCACATTGATGTTTTTTGACATCCAACGATTATTTGAAATACCAATTGGCATTGGGTGCAATTTTGGATGTATTGTATCGGGATTTTGTGAGAACCAAGCTAATAGTTTTGTATTTGACAAAAATGTTTTATATATTCCTGGTGCTGATTTATCGCTGTTGTGGGTAATTAGTACAAACGGCACCTTTATCTTGTCGAATAATGTAAAAAATTCTTTCATATAATCAGTCTTCAAAAACACAATTGCTCCTGCTGACATTTTTTGAATACTTCTTCTCCATCCCAGAATATCTGTTGTTTCATCGAAAACGAGATCAGCGAACGAACGCGCAGTATCGCCACTAAAGTAAGGATACGATGTATTTCTTCCTTTAATAGAATTTTTGTAAAACAAATGTACTGCTTCTTTCGTACTGTCGTTGATCAGCCAATTCCATACGGGCGTACCATTGCTTACACTTGATGACAAATTGTAATTTAGAACGTGATCGTCATATTCGGAACTTTGTTTCATGGTTGACAAGTTTTCTGTGCTGCTCTTATATATTAAACTCGAACGCAACGGAAGTACTGTCGACAGCGTAAGCGTTTTTCTAACCTGTTTGAATGGTAAGATGTACACGGAGCAAAGAACAAGGATACAAACAGTCAAAATTGTTGTTTTAGCATAAATTAAACGTTTTACGAAAAACTTTAGATACATGCAGTTGTACAACCTTATATTATCACGCAAGTACATCGTAATGAGGGTTGTATAGTAACTAATTATATCATCTTTGTCATAGCCAAGAAAAAGAACGCGAAATGAATCGTTCTGTACATACTATCTTCCTTTTTCTTTGTACATAACCCTTTCGACGTATTCATCAAACAAATCGACACTTATGAGCGGATACGAAGCATGTCTAGATCACTCGGTAAAAAGAAAATGATTCTCTACCGAATCTGTGAAGGTTTATACTTTTGAAACGAATTCAAAACCTTTAAAGGTTTTGTTGAACACATCACTCGCATTTCCACTTTTGGTGTCCATTTTTGTTGATGATATTTTTATTTTGTGTAATCTAGATGAAGCTCAATCATGCGTAGATGCGGTTATTTCCTGGTACGATACAAATTTAGTTAGTTTAAACATTGATAAATGTCAGTGGCTCTTATTTTCAACTGTTTCAAACATAAATCCAACCATGCACATAAACAAACCTCAAATCTTGCTACATACACTTCAGACCACGCACTACTCAACGGCGTAAAAGCTTTTGCCACAAGCGGTGAATTTGCGGAAAAAATACATGGCTAAAAAACAGCCTGTATTTTTGCGACCTCTGTGGAAAAATATTTTTTGCCTTAGATTTTCCTCGCTTTGAAACTTGCAAAAGTATATGTTCAGAATCTAGGACCTTTTAGCTATCGATTCATAAAAAAGCTTTTTTTTTGGAGACTTTAGCGTCAGAAAAATAAATTTTTCTTTTTACAGTAAATGCTTTCCGAAGAAGTATGCTCCCCAGGTCAACTGTCATGCCACATTCGCGAAGCAATCGTGCTGTCGCTATAGCGATTGCTATGAACTCCCATTACTCGCGATATGATCGCTATAAAGTCACGCTCTCGCGACGAGATCTTAAGAAAGTCTTAATTTATTGAAAATTTTTTCTTCGAGATACGTCGCGATTTAACTATCACGGCGTGAACGCTATGCTTTTCTATGTCGCGGCGCGATCGCTATTGAGTCGTGAAGTCGCGGCGGGATCTTGAGAAACCCTTATCTACAGAGAAGAGGAATTTTTAAGAGTCGTGGTGAGTTCGCGATGTCGCGACGCGACTCTTGCGATCGCGATTGAATTTCCATAGACGTGCTCTTCTTAGTCGCGCCACGATTCTTGCTGCAACAAGACTTGAAAAGTTGATAAATTTTCAAAAAACCAAGTGAATATTTCTTAGCGCGGGGTGATTCTTTCGAGAGTGTAGCACAATTACATCGACTTTATCCGAATTGTTCGAGAGTAACAGGACTAGTACAACTTGGGCTCTTGAAGACGAATATCGCGTTACAAAGATTCTAAAACAACGGCACGGTGATCATCTAGACCTGTTTATATCGCATTCTCCAGCAGAACAAATCTTTTGTGGGCATATCCATCATTTTTTAGTGAAACATTTTCATGAGCTAGTACCGTCAGATTAGATTCTATATGTGCAGAGGTACCAAATCACTAACAGGGAAATTTTTAAAAAAGTCGTTATTTCCAAAAAATAGCCCTTTTTTGTAAACCATATTTTCCCCATAAAATCGTATCCACACAAGACTAAAAGATATGCATTCGACGCGTCTTTTCAAACTCTATCCGCTGAAGTGGTCCGCATTGGGATCACAAACTGTTTAACGATAGAAAAAACAATTTCTGAAGGCGATTTTTTGCAAAGTTTGAGTACGTGATGCACACGAGATTCCAGGACGTGGAATGACATATATCTCGTATGTACTCGACATAGACTATTACAGAAACAGGCTTTTACCTTTGGTCAGGCACTTTTGAAACAGACGAAATCCTGTGGTATTTTTGCAGGAAAAACATTCTCCTCTGAAAGTGCTTGGCCAAAGGTAAAAGCCTGTTTCTGTAATAGTCTATGTCGAGTACATAGGAGATAT